ACGCCACAAGCACGTACCAACTGCTACCTGGTCTGTGTTCCTGTGATCGTTGCTGGAATGCTGCACAAGCACCTTCACGACTCCTATACGATCGCGAGGGTAACACATTCATCACGCAGTTGCCTTGTCTGCATGAACTATGGTACCGAGGAGAATACGGCTGCACTGACAAAGGTACTAACCTGCGAACCCACTTTTACCGACAACGTCACCGCAAATCAGAATCACTAAAATGACCGTGAACGATGCAACAGCAGTCAAAGGACCTTTCTCGGAACCAATGCCCCGCTCGCAATAAAAGGATTCAAAAACAAAACAACTGGAGCGAAAAGTCTGGGAACGGACATTTACACCGAATCAAACATTGTGTACTAGCTACACTGATTTACATAAACCACTGTACAATACCGCGGGGGATGTCGTAATTCTTTGCAACATCTGATAAGCATGTGAGTACATAGATAAAAATGCCTCGATTTGAACATACTCTTCATGTTATAGCTGTCTGCTTATCACTGAAAGGGCCAGATGCTTGCCTTGATTTTTCGGGAATACTTAAACAAATAAACTATAAAATGCAGTCGAACGAGGGGCGTCCTGGCGATACAACAGTAAAAGTAGAGTCGGTAACGGAAATTCGCTTTTCATTTTGCTACTGAACACTATTCTGAAACGATACCAGTCTAGTGAAGACGACGATGAGGTATGGTAGGCAGACCAGGCACCATGCTAACCCGGGGTACGACGATCATGCTGCCTTGACGAGTAGTACGGAAACCGATTTCACCAGCTGTGGACCTCGCAGTAACAACCGAGAAAACTGGCCTTTATCTTAACCGGCTGAAGTCAAAAATGTTAGAGACATACCGGAAGCACAAACTCGCAGGTCAACATAGAAATGAAATGGCAGAAAAAGTCAGATGGTTCAAATACTTCGGTATCTTCATCTTCAGCGACGGTATAAGGCAATTAGCGCTAAGATTTGACCTCACGTGCTCACACTGTTAAGTACCTGGGAGTTCCTCTGAACGATCGTTTAGTCTGGTTTGATAGGGCGAATTCGGTGATAACCAGAAAGCCCAAATGGACTTCTACCTCCTAACGATGATAAGATTCTTCTTACTGCCCGACAGCAATATGCTTCGTCTGCGCTTGTTTGATGCCCTAATTATCTAGGTAAACCCACTTCTATTTGCTGATCTACAAAGAAAACATATTCCCACTTAGCTCTGAGCCATCCTACGTCCTATTTCGCTTATCAGTAAGATCTACTTCGCAGTAATCGTTGATCGAGTAGGTTCAACCATAGACTGTGCAATACACCAACCAGTCACTTAGCTGTTGATGGATGACAGCCAACCATTGCAGTATTAAAGAGTGTAACCACTGTTATTGAAATGGGGATGCAAGTCATCGCCAAGAAGACGAAAAGTAGGAGAGCGCCCGCTGTCATCTGGAGCTAATGGATATTATGAAACGATCTTACGATGAAAGAAGTGGGCAATTTCAAATAACTCAGATCTGTGTATGCTGATGATGATGACATCGATCCAGAATTGAACCGCCAGGGTATTAGATTGACATCAGGGAATTTTGGCAGACTATACGAGATATGGAAGGACCGAAGTGCAAGAATAGATACGCAGCTTACCAAAACCATCAGACCAACTTAGAGACTAGTGCCTGGCTTGTTTTGACGCACTAAAACTGTCCAAAAAGAGAATGCAAATATTTTCAAAACTTTTCTTGCTTGGAAAACTTGCGTTGGCCACAGACTCGTTGGAGGATACAACAAATCGTGAAAACACCTCTCTGGTACACACACGCTGGTGAAAAACAATATAACCTATGCAGCAGCAGTGAAGTAACCAAATATCACT